CTCTGTGCCCAGTATTCTTAGCTGTAACATCAGGCTCTAAGGATTGAATGAGTTTAAATATGTAAAACATTTAAAAGAGCAGTACTTGGCACATAGAAAGTGTTCATAATAATTAGGTTGCTGTTGTTGTAGCAGAAAGAGTGCTATGTAAATATTGGGTGTCAGTATTCTTGTCGAAAGAGCATTGGACTTCAAGGTGGGAGACCTGCAGAGGGCAGAAGGCAAGCCTCTCTGTTTCTTATCTGGAAAATGGAAAACATGATTTTACCTGCCCAGTATAGCTCACGGGGATTTTGTAAGAATCAGATGGATGTCAAAGAGCTTTGAAAAGTGCAATGTGCCATTCACACAGAGTTTTGTCGCTTTTAACTCCATCCAGATATGTTTCTGTTGGGGAGAACTGGTATCATACTTGCAGGTTAGCTTTCTATTAGAAAAAGAAGTGGGCTGGGCGCCGTGGCTCATGCCTGTAATCCCAGCACTTTGGGAGGCTGAGGCAGGTGGATCACAACATCAGGAGATCGAGACCAACTTGGCCAATATGGCGAAACCCCATCTCTACTAAAAATACAAAAAAGTATCTGGGCGTGGTGGTGCGTGCCTGTAATCCCAGCCACTCAGGAAGCTGAGGTAGGAGAATCACTTGAACCCGAGAGGCAGAGGTTGCAGTGAGCCAGGATCGCACCATTGCACTCCAGCCTGAGCGACAGAGTGAGACTCCGCCTCAAAAAATAATAATAATAATAAATAATAAAATAATTTTTTTTAAAAAAAGAAAGAGAAGTGGAGCTGAAAAGGGAGAGAGGCCTGCTTTTTTTTTTTCTTCTTCAAAGACAAATCCAAGCCCTTGTTATAGTCCGTCTGCCTGAGGAGATGCAGCCCGTGGTCCCTTTCTTCCCCGGACTCGGAGCAAAGATCTGTCTCCTTATGCCATCTGTTGTTTGCATCTGTCTGGGCTATTATTCGTCTTCTTTCCAGAATTACTTTAAAGAAATTTTGCTCATGGAATACTGGGCACGAGATTTATCTGTTAAATTATTTGCAGAATATTTTACTGTAGGTCATCTGGTGATTGAAAGGGGGGCCTGGCCTCAGGTGTTAGGAGCTGAGGTTTGCATGGCAGTCAGACAAGTAGGAATTGGGTTAAAATTTCAAAAATGCAGGACCCTGATTAAAAATGCCACCCACTCTGTATTGTTAATCTTGAGTTATTACAGTAAAATGTGAGAATCATGCATCTAAAGGTTTATAATTTATAGATAAAGAGTCTTGGCTGGGTGCAGTGGCACCTGTAATTCCAGCACTTTGGGAGGCTGAGGCGGGCAGATCACAAGGTCAGGAGTTTGAGACCAGCCTGGTCAACATGGTGAAACCCCGTCTCTACTAAAAATACAAAAATTAGCCGGGTGTGGTGGTGGGCGCCTGTAGTCCCAGCTACTTGGGAGGCTGAGGCAGGAGAATCACTTGAACCCGGGAGGTGGAGGTTGCAGTGAGCCGAGATGGTGCCACTGCACTCCAGCCTGAGCAACAGAGCGAGACTCTGTCTCAAAAAAAAAAAAAATAATAATAATAATAATAATCTTTCTCTGAAAATGAGGATTATAGAGTGTGAACTTATAAGGTGATTTAAAGTTTCCATGGTCTTGACATTGTCCTATGGGGATGATTGTCTTCCTGGATGCACAGATCAAGAGGCTGGGGTCCCTGGGGCAGGGCAGGGGCACTCATTAAGGGAATGGCTCAGCCAGCAAGGAGGTCAAGCCAACCCTGGGTCAGCAGCCCCCTCTCGTGTGGGGAATCATCCCCAGCTCTCTCTGCCTCCTTCGACACCACCCCATGGAAGGGATCAGGCGGAGACGCCCTGTCCTGGTTCTGGGATCAGAGATAATCGGTTATGTCTAGATTCCACTGCTGTGTGGTCTTGGCCCAGTTACTAAACCTCTCAAAGCCTCAGCTCTAAAACAGGGACACAAATATCCATCTTTCTCTTAAGACAGTTGTGCAAATTCAATGACATAGTTCATGGAAAGATACTGGCCCAGTGCCTGGCCTTAGTAAGTGCTCAGTAACAGGAACATTTATTGCTGTTGTTTTATTTCCCCCCACATTCTGTCTTTCAGCTAAAATGAAGGAACATTTTTGCATTGTAGTATTCACGTTAGCACTAGAATGTATGGGTGCCTGAGAGATGAAGCATCTTTATGTTTTACCTTTGGACACAATGGGATGAACACAGATAGCCAGCCACTCAGAGAAATGCACCAGGTAGGGGAACCCTAGCCAAAGCTAGCTTGCACTTCGGACTGGTGTCTGAAGGTCAAAGACTACAGCCCATCCAACAAGTCTGACGGTCTCAAGAAGTCTCCAGGTGCAGACTAGGCAGATGATTTGCTTTCACATATCCTGTAGAAATGCCAAGATTAATTTACAAAATCCATAGGCTAGAGGTTGGTAGAGTTTGATGGGTGGGAACCCTCCCTTCCTGGGGGACCTTGGGGGCTGTCTGCTTCACCTCCAGGCAGGAGCCATACCTACTATCCTCCTTGGGTGCCCTCTGTGTTCACACCCCTGCAGCCATGGGACTGGGGTCAGTCTCCCTAGACCGTGAGCAATGTAAGGGGAGGAAGGGAGCCTTATTTTTTTCACCTCCCCTTCCTTCCTCCCTCCCTCCCTCCATCCCTCCTTCCCTCCCTTCCTTCCCTCCTTCCCTCTCTCCTTTCCTCCCTCTGTCCCTCTTCCTTTCTTTTCCTTTCCCCTGTTTGTTTCTGTTTCTGTTTTGTAGAGATGGGTTTCACCATGTTGTCCAGGCTGGTCTTGAACTCCTGGGCTCAAGTAGTCTTCCCACCTCTGCTTCCCAAAGTGCTGGGATCGCACGCATGAGCCACCGCACCTGGCTGGGGAAGCTGTTTCTTTTTTTTTTTTTTTTTTTTTTTTTTTTTTGAGACGGAGTCTCGCTCTGTCGCCCAGGCTGGAGTGCTGTGGCCGGATCTCAGCTCACTGCAAGCTCCGCCTCCCGGGTTCACGCCATTCTCCTGCCTCAGCCTCCTGAGTAACTGGGACTACAGGTGCCCGCCACCTCGCCCGGCTAGATTTTTGTATTTTTTTTATTAGAGTCGGGGTTTCACCGTGTTAGCCAGGATGGTCTCGATCTCCTGACCTCGTGATCCGCCCGTCTCGGCCTCCCAAAGTGCTGGGATTACAGGCTTGAGCCACCGTGCCTGGCCCGGGAAGCTATTTCTAATTCACACAATGGCATTGTCTGCTTCCAGGCCATGCATTTGGCCCAGAAGAGTGCCACCTTTTGATTTTCACAAAGGTGCCCATGGGCTAGGGAATGTCTGTCCTACAGATTTGCACTATCTGCTAGATTTAAGCAAGCTAGAAAGAAATGAGGTCTTGTGCTGTCTTCAAATGTGTGTTCCACGTAACACGAGTTCTATAAGATGTTAAACTGTGGTACATTAACAAAGAGTCCTGTGGTCAAGAAATTCTGGCGAACTCTGAGTTAAAATTCGGTAAGTTATTCTGCTGTAGAACTCAGAATCTTGACTATGTTAATGTGCGTTGTGAATTTCTAAAAGAGGCCTATATTATGTAGCACTTGTCAAAGGTGTTTGACCAGGGAATACTTTGTTTTCCTCCAAGCTGATCTGGTGCAGCTCATCTGGATGAGAGGTGGACTGGGGAATGCACTCTTAGTTGCTAGTGACAGAAATTCAGCTTGTACCCACTAAGGTGAAAAGGGCAATGCATGCGGCCTCATCATAGAGCCCCCAGATGGCTAGGGCAGAATGAGGCTTTGGCCCCAGCAGGGCTGCTCCCTCTGCCTGGCATCTCGACTTTTCTCTGCCTTCAAGCTCTGCCGTCTCTTGCTGTGGCGGCTTCTTCCACCACAGCTGGAAACTAGGCTGCAGGTGACTCCCGCACTCACCTTCTATAGAACGCCCCCACCAGAACTGCCCTGGTTCTTCAGGGAATCCCATAGAAGATCCTGGCTTGGCCTGAGTCTCATGTACACTCCAGTGGGCAGGGACATGGGGCACTATGACTGGCATTTTCCATGAGAACCTCAGGGATGGAGGGTATGGGTGGAACTGTTCTTAAAAGAAGGCAGACCTCATCCCAGAACAAGGGGTGCGTGTTGTTTGGGTTGGGGGCACAGGGTCACGGCTGGGGAAACAAAATGAAAGACAGTCACTGCTTTGGGAAATATGACTTGGGGCTTACAGAAGCCCTTCCCCTTCTTCTGATTTTTATATTACATGAAAATAGCATCATTTAAATGAGGTTTTTTTTTTTTTTTAAATCTCATTTCTGTCCTATGATTTAAAGTTTTGACTGAGCCTTATATTTTTGCATCCTGGTTTTAAAAAATCAACTAGTCTGTAGGAATATGGTTTATAAAAGCAACAACAACAAATCCACTAACCAGTGGACAAGCTTATCCTGGAGTGAAAGAAAAGGTGGCCAACTCTCAGAGGGGTTAGGATCCCAAGTGGTTGGGTCCGGATTTCTAAGGGTTCGTCATTTTCTTCTTCCAGTTAGTTTTTTTCCCTAGGTTTCCAGCTGAATTCTGGTATGTGAAGCCATTGGTGTGGAGGGAGGAAAGTGTGTTTCCATCTCAGGAGTGCCGCAAACAAATTGGACACTTTCAAGTCTTAGTTTAAATGGCTCCACGTCTCCTAGGGATCTAGTGACCCCAAAGTGTGGTAGGTGTCCCCAGTTTTGGTTTTCTACTAAAGCATTCAGTTGGAACTGCTACTGCTTGTTTGACTTTGTTTCTTCCCCTCTGGATGAGAGCAGCAGCCACCTTTGCTTTGCTCCCTATATATCCTCAAGGCCTAGCTCAGTGCCACACATAGTAGGTGCTTCGTTGGATGGCAGAGGAAGTGAACGACCTTATCTTGAATGCTGTGGTGGCGGCTCTGTTGATAAATGTTTTTCTGTTTTCAGAGACTCCTATCTGATTTCCTTTCCAATTTCTCTTTCTCCTGGCTCAGAGGACTTCATCAGCTCAGACTCCAAGGTCCACACAGCCACCGGGGAATAGTCAGAATATAAAAAGGAAGCAGCAGGACACGCCTGGAAGCCCTGACCACAGAGACACATCCAGGTAGGAGGCCAGCTCTGGAGGACTGATGCAGCCCAAGGCCTGCCCTGCTCATTGCCTGCTCCAGCATTAGCTTTGCCCCATTTGCTTTGGAAACTGGACGCTTAAACCCACGATATCGTCCCCAGTGGTGAGACATTCCAAGCAGTGGTTCACAGACCTCTCTGTGACTGGCTAGGCCTGCATGATTGAAAAGTTCATCCTGATTTCCTGCCCAAAGATGAAATTAGTAATTATGGACTTCCATTCCAGCCACACTCCAGAGTATCTTCATTGTCAGAACTTAAAATGGAAAACATCAAGGGTTCCCAGGGCTTTATCAGTATCTAATCTGTGGCTAAGTGGAGTCTGTATCCCAGTGTGGTGGCTGTTGCGGGCACTGGACCATGAAACAGAGGACTGAGAACACAATTACCAAAGCCACCCAAGCCCTTCGTCCCAGGGAGGCTAGTGGATGAATCCCAGAAACCAACTGTGGCAGTGGGATGTGGTGGCCCATCGGTCACTGCCTTTTTTTTTGAGATGGAGTCTCATCCAGGCTGGAGTGCAGTGGCACGGTCTCGGCTCACTGCAACCTCTGCCTCCTGGATTCAAGTGATTCTCCTGCTTCAGCCTTTCGAGTAGCTGGGATTACAGGCGTCCGCCATCATGCCCAGCCATTTCTTGTATTTTTAGTAGAGACGGGATTTCACCATATTGGCCAGGCTGGTCTCTAACTCCTGACCTTAGGTGATCCACCCACCTCAGCTTCCCAAAGTGCTGGATTATAGGCGTGAACCACCATGCCTGGGCTGGTCACTGACTCTTGTTAAGAGCCACAGCCAGGCCCTAGGGCTCCCTGCCGGGGCTCTGTCCTGGGCCTCTGCCCCTGTTGGCCCCACACTCATAGTTTTAGGGGATGCAACCAGTAGTCCAGCAGACTCGAGCACCTGGTGTCCAGCATGGACACAGGCCAGGCACGCTGGGGGCACTTAATAACTGCTTGTGGGTTCAACTCACAAACAGGCTGTGAATTTGGTCAGAAAAACCCTGAACAATTGGAACCCAGCTCCCAGGAGTCTATCATGACGGGCCCTAAGGGAAACAAATGAACAGGAACTCTATGGAACAAAAATGCCAAATTGAATGACAGGCCCCTGTCATAGACGATGAAGCTTTGGCTCACATGCTACTTCACAGCTTTGCAAAACCTTGAGACTCAAAGTGACTTTTTTTTTTTTTTTTTTTTTTTTTTTTTTTTTGCTTTGGGTAAATAAGAGCAACCCCTGGTGGCAGGAATTTCCATGCCTGGGGCATCGTTTTCTGGGTGGCTTGGGCTATGTGGCTTTCCAGAGGAAGTAGTTGGGGCATCTTGGCAGGAGCTTTGGATTTCTTTAGGGAAATGGCAATCAGATGGGGCAGAGTGTTTTTTGCTGAGGGAATCAGAATGATGCCTCGAACAGCACCTTTGGTCTGTATTCTCTGCTGAAAATGGTGCCTCCTGTACCTCCCCAGACCCCCGTGGCTGTTCCATTTCCATGAACTTTTCCTCAGGGTCACAGGACAAAGGTTTCAGTCTTTGATTCTACTGAGACCTCTAGCTTGGCTGTGGATGACTATGGAACTAGTGAATGGATTTGTCTTTTCTGGAATCCCACACAAGTGAAGCCACTCTGGCTAAGGCCCAGGGCCCAGCTCTTCTCTTTCCCTCTTGGTGAGGTCCCGGGATCTCCTAAGAAGCCTGGGAATTGCTCGAGGCCTGTGTCACAGCTGGACTGAAGAGTAGCAGCAGCTCAAATGTCTTTTCTTGCTTGTTCCCCGGCTTTAGTCGATTATTATTTTTCCCTTGAAGAATTGCCTCTCATTGGCATGCAAATTGAGCATAAAAGAGGTGCCTGTAATCCCAGCACTTTGGCAGGCTGAGGCGGGTGGATCACGAGGTCAGGAGATCCAGACCACCCTGGCCAACATGGTGAAACCCCGTCTCTACTGAAAATACATAAATTAACCAGGTGTGATGGCGTGCGCCTGTAGTCCCAGCTACCCAGGAGGCTGAGGCAGGAGAATCTCTTGACTCGGGAGGGGGAGGTTGCAGTGAGCTGAGATCTCACCATTGCACTCCAGCCTGGGCGACAGAGTGAGACTCCATCTCAAAAAAAAAAAAAGCCCCCCCAAAAAAAACGAGGTGCCTTCCAAGAGCACACTCAAAAAAGCAGCTTCCTGTTCACAATTGAAAACATGATTCTCTTCCATAAATGTGTGTGTGTCTACAGTGCAGGGCCCTGTACTAACTCAGAAATCATCTATCAGGAAGGAACAGGCCCTCCTACTCTGCAAGGGCTGACAGTGAGTCCATCGCTCCTGAATGAGCAGGGCTCCTGTGTGCAGTTTCAGTGAGTTACCCGTCCTTGGTGTCACCAACAAGGATAAAGAGTATTTATCGTTCATTTCGCATATTGGTGCCAGACCCTATGCCAAATGCTCTGTGTGTGCAATAGATCATTGCATTTTTTTAAAACCTATTCAGTTCTGATCCTGAGTCCTTACTCTGCTGGGCTGGTGGGTATGCCCAGTGTATTAGTCTGTTTTCACACTGCTGGTAAAGACATACCCAAGACTGGGCAATTTACAAAGAAAAGAGGCTTAATGAAGAACTCACAGTTCTACATGGCTGGGGAAGCCTCCCAATCATGGCAGAAGGCAAGGAGGAGTAAGTCACATCTTATGTGGATGGCAGCGGGCAAAGAGAATAGAGCTTGTGCAGGGAAACTCCTGTTTTTAAAACCATCAGATCTCGTGAGACCCACTCACTATCACAAGAACAGCACAGGAAAGACCTGCCCCCATGATTCAATCACCTCCCCCCAGGTCCCTCCCGCAACACTTGGGAATTCAAGATGAGATTTGGGTGGGGACACAGCCAAACCATATCACCCAGGGCAGCCATCCTTGGGACTCCCCTCTCCAGAGCCTGGTGCATTGAGGCCATCATCCATTCCCTCCCCAACCCCAGAACCTTCCCTGTGATGCCAGTGACCACACTGCCCCTCCGGCTGAGGGACTGTGCTGCTTCTCCGCCACCGTAGGCAGGAGGAAGTCTTTGATGAGGCTTTGGGAGCCCCATGGCCACTTTCTTGAGCAACCTCCCTGCTCATTTCCCCTCTGAACCCGAGGACATGGTCTGGAAGTAGAGAGGGACTCTCAGAGGTTCCCCACTGTTCAGGGCCCTTTCTCTCCACTCTCAGGTGCATTGGCCTTGACCCATCTGTCCCTTGGCCTCATTGAACAACCAACATTTTCTCTTCAAAGGATGTAAGTTTTTTAAAAAGGTGGGAAGAGCCATTCACCTGCAACTCTCTGTTTTCTACTTGGAAAAACGCTGCAGTGGCCACCTGCTGGGCATGGAGTAAGGGAAGAATATAGGGAGAATGCATATGTGAATATTTCCAAAGATTGCCCCTCTGCCCAGGCATTATCTCCACTCTACATATGAGGAAACTGAGGCTTGGAGCATGATGTAATCTACCTTAGAGGTAGAAAGTCCATTGTTTCTCCTTGAGGCTCTTCCCTGTCTCTGAATTATGGTAGAACATGGGGTTTACTCATCCCCAGAGCAGGTAAGTTCTTCAATAGGAAGAATGCGGGGTCCCATCAGTTCAACTGCCTTGCTTTCCGGTTGCCACGTGGTGGCGCTGTTGTAACTTAACCCAGCATAGTTCAACCGCCCGGAGTCTGGGAGTTGCCTCCCTGATGACCATCCCTGCACAGGTCCCTGGGTTCTTGAGGGAGAATGATCCCACCCTCCTAGGGTGAAGCTCAACCCCAGTAGCATCTCTTTCTGCTCAGTAGTCTCCACACCAGTACAGCTGAGGTACCAGTACAGCTGATGCCCAGTCTGGACTGGTCCCTGGTCCGCCCTCCTTGGATATCACCAACCAGGGACTGAGCAGCTTTCTCCTTTTAGATCCTTAAGACACAACCAATTTTATTATACAACTTTTTGCCAGATAATGGAGCTATTAATATTAGGTTGTACCAAGGAAATTACCGTTTAGGTAGGTCAAAAATCATTGGACATTGGCCATTTCCTGTGCTTCCATGTCATACTTGATCCTTCTTCCAAAAAAGGCTAAGGGCAGTGTTTCGAGATGATTGGCTTTTCTCAGGGAGTGAGAATCAGGCAGGGAGTGACCTTCAGTGATTCCTAGCTGAATTCCTGGTGCCTTTGGTTACTGACCACAGTGCTTAGGCTCCCAGGCAATGGTAATTGACACAAGACCAAGCAAATTTCCCAAACAAGGCTTTGTGAGGGGCTTATGTTTGAACACAAGGGAGTTAACGCCCGAGCAGAATTCTCCAACTGGCTCCCCCAGGACAGGTCTTTTTGGTGTTTTAAGAAGGGTGGACTGGACGTGGTCACTCACATCTGTAATCCCAGCACTTTGGGAGGCTGAGGTGGGCGGATTGCCTGAGCTTAGGAGTTTGAGACCAGTCTGGGCAACACGGTGAAACCCTGTCTCTACTAAAATACAAAAATTTAGCTGGGCGTGGTGGCACATGCCTGTAGTCCCAGACCCTCCGGAGGCTGAGGCAGGAGAATTGCTTGAACCTGGGAGGTGGAGGTTGCAGTGAGCTGAGATCGCATCACTGCACTCCAGCCTGGGTGACAGAGCCAGACTCTGTCTCCAAAAAAAAAAGGTCACATGGCATGAATAAGCATGAGGTATGGGAACGTCGTTACGTGTGTGGGGTAGAGCACAGGGTGCACAGGCACAGTGAAAGAACGTATTAGGTCATGTATTACATGATCAAAAAATGGCAGATATGGAGCCATAAAAAAGAACGAGATCATGTCTTTTGCAGGGACATGGATGGAGCTGGAGGTCATTATCCTTAGTAAACTAACACAGGAACAGAAAACCAAACACTGCATGTTCTCACTTATAAGTGGGAGCTAACTGATGAGAACACATGGACACATAGAGGGGAACAACACATACTGGGGCCTATTGGAGGGAGGAGGG